TAATAATAATAATAATAATAATAATAATAATAATGATGATAATAATAAATATCACTGAATTCTTGATTTAACCTCATTATGCTGCACAAAATTTAACTGACTCAAAGATGTTTGGAGCATTTTTTAGGTCCTGTTTTATATTAAAAAAAGGGACAATGCATTTTAATGCATGAGAGTGGCTGCGAGTTGCCAAGCAACAGCTAATAATAATAATAATAATAATAATAATGAATTTTATTTATAACGCTTTTACATTTTAGAAAAAAAATCTCGAAGTGCTACAATCAAATACAATAGTAACAATACAAATAGAATGAAATACACTTTGCATGTTAAAAAAGTTAAAAATAAAACACATCAATTAAAGGAAATCGATAAGAACACTAATAAAAAGAAGGTTTATAGGTCTGTTTTGAAGCCTGCCACAGTCTGTGGAGTCGTAAGATGAGGGGGCAACAACAGCTCGACAACAAAGGCTCTTATTGGATGAGACGCGGGACGAAGGCCATCTAAACCAATAATGATCAAGATCCCGCCTCCCCACCGTGACCAGTTTGTGTGTCTGTGTGTTTTAGCTGCCCAGTGAACAGGGAGATCCGATGGAGAAATATTAATAAATAACTGCGTTAACGCGCATAAAAAAATTCTCGCCATTAAGCGTCGGCTGCGTTAACGCGTGCCCAGTACTAAAAAAAAAACTTTATATTTACAGATTCTGCTTTTCTTGCTCACTTCACCTTTCCTTGTTGTCTGTCTTGTAGCAGGGCAGCATAGGGAGTGGTGGCAGCTCTGGTAGTTCTTCTGGCAGCACAGAGGAAGGACCTCTGGAAGTTACTCTCATGACTCATTTTACTAATGCTGGTGTGGCAGTGCTGGAGGCTCCTAAAGATGGTCCCAGCCAACATGCTGACCGCTCTAAGAGATACATTATGGAACATGTTGACCTCGGTGCCTATTACTACAGAAAATATTTCTATCTTAGAGGTAAGGATATTAGACAGTTTAGACTTGTCTTTTCTACTTTAAATAATATTCATTGTTTTTTTTTAACCTTTTTTTATAATGAAGAACAAAGAATGTACATGCATATGAACAGTTCTTTAGTCACTGGAACCCGTCTTTGTAGGAAAATGTAATTTTCATTTAGAGTTTTGCAGTCAGCTGTTCTATTATGAAGACTTGTCTTGTTTTGGTTTTCCAATCAAATTACTTACACAAATTACTAATAATGTTTTTTAATAATAATAATAATAATAATAATAATAATAACTTCATTTGAATAGCAACTTTCTAAACAAATGTTACAAAGTGCTTTACATAGAAATGTTTTAAGACACATCACACACACATCCACACACACATCTTCCCTTATCTTAACTTCAATGATTGTATTTAATACTTTAAATAACATTCTGTCTCAGATAAAATGTATTTGCAGAGAAAACATTATTTACAGCCAGTTTTATTAAAGATTTACTCAGTAATCAGTTTTTGTGCCAAAGGAAATAACCTATAGAAAAAAAAAACATTTTGCATGCTAAAATAACTTTTCCATGAGATATTTTGACATTAGTTTCTCTGTCTTGTGATTTTTCATTTTCTGTATTCACATTATGTCTTAAATCTTTACTCTTCTTAATCCCAGAGCACTGGAATTATCTGGGAGTGGATGAGAATCTGGGCCCATTGGCTGTGAGCCTGAGGAGGGAGAAGTTAGAGGAACACAAAGAACATGGTCAGCAGTACAATTACAGGGTCATCTTCAGAACAAGTGAGGTAAACGGAAACAAAGACGAAGGTTCCTCTGTTTTACATACTGTCGTATAGTTTGTTGTGTCAGCTTTAATTGTTGTTTTTCATGTTTAAGGGTTTGTTTTTGACTAAGCTTTCCATTCACCAAGATTTGCTGCATTAGCAGCTGCTCCTTGAATCTTCATGCTCTCGAATGTGTCAATATTTAGTACACTGTGTACTGAGTGATGTTACAGAAAAGCTATTATGAGTTCAAATTGTGTAGGAGTTAACACACAGGATCTGCTCTCAGTTGGGGGTAGATGTAGGAGCTTCAGCTCAAGATGCTACCGCCTCTGCTCCTTAACATCACCTTAAATGTTTTCATATTTGATCAGATTTTTTCATGTATTCATCTAGTTATTTGTTTGTTTTTTTGCACCACTCGATCAATGGATTTCAGTGAGAATAAATCTTTTGTAAATCCCTCCTTTTCTGCACTCCAGAGCTAGAGATCTATGTCCTCATTCCCAAAGCTAAACACCCACCCACCATGTTTGTCAGCCTTCGTCTGTGAAAGACTGAGCTGTGCCATTTTGCTGTTAAATGAGACTAAAATAAAACCAAAAGTAATAAAATGAGGAAGGAAAAGCTTTGTTCTTGTATTAAAGCCTAACATGAGTAATTGCCCCTGCAGTCGTTTAAGATGACGCAGAACCTACTGTGCTGTTGTCTTTTTTTGTGTGACTCCTTGGATCTCTTGTAATTGCTATTTTCAGAGTAGAGAGCTTTGTAAGTGTGTGTGCCAGTGAGGGAGTGAGTGGGATGCACTGATTTTGAAGACAAAAGTTCAGTGTCCATCAAGGGCTAGTGTCCTCTCTTGAGTTAAGAGCACTTCTTTTTTTACCACTTCGTTGAAAACAAAGTGTGCTTACACCAACCCTGGCCCAACCAAACACAAAACAGACACTTTTAAGTGTCTTGGGACTACTATAGACTGCCAGCTCTGTTATTTGCTCCTGATAGATACTCAGGCCTTGGACTTCTACAGTCCTCCTGAATTATTCATGAACATCCTTGTGCTTCTGTTAACTTGAAGCCTGAAGTGTCTTTGTGATAAAATCTATATGAGCAAACCTTACATTAATTTATTTGTTCTTCTTTATTTATACTGCCCGGCAAAAAACCAAGTATCCACTTCTAAGGTCTGTGATGTGAGGCTGCTGTAGTTGTTCAGGTCTAGGTTCAGCAACAGAATGAGGTCAGCTGACTACCTGAATATACTGAATGACCAGGTTATTCCATCAATGGATTGTTTCTTCCCTGATGGCACGGGCATATTCCAATATGACGATGCCAGGATTCATTCACTCTTATTTTGAAAGAGTGGTTCAGGGAGCATGAGACATCACTCTCACACATGGATTGGCTCCACAGAGTCCACTGAGAATCTTTGTGCTGGAGAAGGTCAGACTGTACCATCATCAATGCAAGATTTTGGTGAAACATTAATGCAATAAATGAAATAAATCTGGTGACATAAAGAAACTTATCAAACAATGCCACAGAGAATGTGTGTCATAATCAAAGCTAAAGCTTTAACCAGATATTAGTGTATGACATTTTTTTTGGCCGCGCAGTGTATATTATTGTTTTACTTTTTAATGTACCAGCAAAAAATAAAAATACCGGGTGGATATATTCCTTCTCTTTATTTTTAAGTAATGACATTGTGCACCAATGGCCATGGTAACTTATGTTACAAAAACAAAATATTAGACAAACAGATTAAAAAACTTAACCACAAGCTTCTCTGCACCGTTTAGTTCTTCGTTACTGGTGGATTTCAAGGAACTCCTATAATAAATATTGGTTTTGTTAATTTGGTCAAGTGATTTCCTGATTCAGAAGTACTGATTTGTTTGAAAACATGCTTTGTTGTATTGATCTTACAATCTGTGTTTTTCGTTTTTCTTCTTCTGTCTCCAGCTTAGTACCCTGCGTGGCTCCATCCTTGAAGATGCGGTGCCGTCTACATCCAAGCATGGTCTTGCTCGAGGCCTGCCCCTCAAAGAAGTGCTGGAATACCTCATTCCTGAGCTCAATGTTCACTGCTTGCGCCTGGCGCTCAACACACCTAAGGTTACTGATCAGCTGATGAAACTGGACGAGCAGGGGGTAAGGCAAAAATTCATTTAAAAGTTTGATTAGGTTGGACTGCATTATTGTACTCAGTCAAGTTCTTTTGTTAATATTTCTATCAACATACAAAAAAGGGGTATTAAGTGTTGAAGCAATCATTTCTCAAGACTCTGATCCACACTGCATGTATCTATCTACCTGAAGAACTTAGCTGTCTGTTATTTTTAGCTGCATTATTTTTCTCATAGACTTGTGTGAACATTGACAAACTATTGCACCGTGTTACATAATCAAACACAACTTAGCCCAGGCACAAAAACAAGAAAGAAAATACTAAACAAGCTCTTTGATGCTCATGCTCCCTGGTGCAATCATCAAAAGTTAAAACCCCTGAAAATGTCAGCCTAATTTCTTGGGAAAATGGCACCATGTTCACTACGGAACAACTCAAGGCTTTTCTTCAAATGCCATCACAAGTTTAGCCTAAAATGTCAACATGGTGACTTTGACACGACTTAGTCTTGGTGATAAAGCTGCCTCCCCTTTTTCATTAAGTTTGTCTTCTCTTTACAGCTGAGCTTCCAGCGGAAGGTCGGGGTGATGTACTGCATGGCAGGCCAGAGCAGCGAGGAGGAGATGTACAATAATGAAGCAGCTGGGCCCGCCCTGGAAGAGTTCCTCCATCTGCTGGGCGAGAGAGTTAGACTCAAAGGCTTCAACAAATACAGAGCTCAACTTGACACGAAAAGTATGTAGATGTGCAGAAATGACACAAAATCAGGCTTGAGTTAGGCACCAACCCCGTTGATTAAATGTGTTTACATCATTTTAGGGTTTAAAGGTATAGTGTGATCATTATTTTAAATCCTAACTGAATATTGGCTGGTCAGGAAGATATTTTAGTTGAATCAAAAGCACATTTGTATCCTGGTTTAGATCCTACTTCACAAATAGGAGTTTTTCTGTTCATTTAAGAGATCTCTTCTACAGCTCCTCTGACTTGTGGGGTCCCGCATTGCTCTATTCTAGGCCCTATGCTTTTTAATCTTTATATGTTGCCTCTGGGGTCCATTTTTAGTAAATGTAAGATTCCTTTCCACTGTTTTGCTGACGACATTCAGGTCTACCTGCCTATCAAGCCAGGTTCGATTAATTCATTCAAATCACTCCTGAGCTGTCTGAATGACATAAAAATCTGTCTGAAACTGAATTTTCTGAATCTAAATGAAAGTAAGAAAAAAGTCATCAGCTTTGGTAAAGACATTTCTCCTGACAATCTTGGTCCTTTGGCTTCATACAGCTGCTCTGTTAGAAATTTGCATTTCATTTTTGATAATTTCAAATTGGACAAACAGATAAACTCAGTGGTGAAATCAAGTTTTTTCCAACTAAGACTTATTGCTAAGGTGAAGCCATACCTCCCAATCAAAGACCTTGAAAAAGTGATTCGTGCTCTCATTACATCTCGTTTGGATTATTGTAATTCTTTGTATGTTGGTTTAGATAAATCTTTTCTGCATTGATTACAAGTTGTCCAGAACGCAGCAGCTCGTCTTTTAACAGGAACTAAAAAACACGAACACATATCCCCGGTTCTGGCTTCTCTCCATTGGCTTCCTGTTCATTTTAGGATACATTTTAAGATTTAATTGCTTACTTTTAAAGCTTTAAAAGGTCTGACCCCATCTTACCTGTGTGATCTCAACATCCACACTTCAGTTAGAGCACTTCGGTCATCCAACCAGTTCCTCTTAGATGGTCCTGGATCCAGGCTAAAGTCTAGAGGTGATCGGGCCTTTGTTTCTGCCCCAAACCTTTGGAATGGTTTACCTCTTAGCATACGGACTGCTGAGACTGTTGAGACTTTTAAATCTCTGCTTAAAACTCATTTTTACTCCCTGGCCTTTCATTCTGGTAGAGTTTGAGATTCTTTTAAAGATAATGTTTTTAATGTTCTTTTTCTCTATTTTAAATTGATCTTATTGTTTACATTTCTGTGTTGCTCTGTTGTTTTATTGATTTGGCTGAATTGTGAAGCACTTTGGCCAACTTTTGTTGTTTTTATGTGCTATATAAATAAATTGACATTGACATTGAATATCAAGGTGAAATCAAATTTAGTGTTTTTTTTATTTAATTTGTTGCCAAACCAGATTTATTCTTTCTGTAGAGTGTAAATAATATATTTTTGCTTTACTAGACTAAATGAAAAGGTTTTTTATACAGTTTGTGCAGTGTGAGAAAGAAATGACACAATAAGAGCAATAAAATTCAGTATTGAGCTATTTGGCTTGGTTATTATTTTTCCCTTGGCAGTTTTTACAACCCTCTTGTGCCATCTTACAGAACAGAACAGAATAGTTTGAAACAACTAATTTTAACCCACTCTTTCATGTTTTTATTTTTCAGAAGACTATTAGCTTGTCAGAAGTTTCCTCAAAAGTTTTTAGACACTTTTTTATTTTTTGTGCACTGTATTTAATCCCGTTTGACTTTCTGAACTTCAAATTAATTTTAAATTAACCAGGACACTGCCACAGATTCCCTGCGAGACAAAAATGAGCACTCTCTTTTTGCAAGGCCTTATACAGTGCAAAACAACCTTGAGCATGGCATTGTAAATTAAATAAAGCCTTTCAAAGCACTTCCAAGAGAAGTGCAAATAATTGATGTAACCCAGCCAAGCTTGTCCTTATTAACACCTGATGAACGTTTTGTCTTTTGACGAGAGCACATCAATAGAATGTGGAGGTGGTTTTTAATGTGCAGCGTCTCTTCAGTGCTGAAACAAAGCAGTGGGACATGTGATTTCTGCAGAGGTTCATGAAGGAAATCAAAATTTAGTTAGTTATAATACACCAAAGTACTTCATAGAGAATAAAATTACAGCTTGTCAGACTGCGTGTGTGTGAATGTGTGTTTATTTTTCTACTGAGAGTGTGAGAAATTCACATGCTCCTGTGTCCTCCTCAGCTGACTCAACAGGCACTCACTCCTTGTACACAACCTATAAGGATTATGAGATCATGTTCCATGTGTCAACAATGTTGCCCTACACACCCAACAACAAGCAACAGGTACTGCGAAACACTTAACTCCACTGTTATGTCTTTGTGGGTTGTGCACAACCACCTGATGTCTTCTCTGCTTTGTCTTTGTTGTCATCAAACTTTTCTAGTTGCTGCGGAAGCGCCATATTGGGAATGATATCATCACAATTGTGTTCCAGGAACCTGGGGCACTTCCTTTCACCCCCAAAAACATTCGCTCACACTTCCAGCACGTCTTTGTGATCGTACAGGCTCACAACCCTTGTTCTGACAACTGCTCCTACAGGTAAAGTTCAGAAACCAAGTGCATACTTCACTGCACACAAACGTGCCAGTTAGCGTAAGGAAATAAATCATGGAGCCAGTTAGCACAGCCGTGGCACAACATTAAATATGCAGTATACTAACAACAGTCTCATTAAAGGTTTATATAATAAATCAGACAAATTAAAGGAGGTGGGGGTGGGGACTTAGGAGCAGCAATTGGGTACTAGTTTCCAACATTACCAGGACATTATTTCCTGTTTAGCTGCGTAGTCCAGCAAAAACCTCCAAAGAGCTTAAGCAGAGTGAAGTAGCTGACGTAGCAGTGAAAATGTGTTTTTAGTTGCTGTGTGTGAATTTGTATTTCTCTAAACACTCATATTAAGATCAGCATAATACCAAATGTATTCAGTGAAATGCACACTGAAAATGGACATTAAAACTATGCATATGTATAAAATGCAATCATGACCTAATGCTTGCTACCCACGCTTTGGTGAGTTTTAAGTGGTTGTAAAATTTAACTCAGAGAAATACTATAACATATGCAGTACTAATACTTCTTTTGTTTTAATCAAATTTTCCTTCAATTCTTTAGCTATGAATTTAGACATGGATGCAAAGGCTTTAAAAATATTAGTTTTTGCTTTTAAATCTTTGTTATTGCCTAAGATAACAGCATATTTATCACAGAAACAATATTGTTTAGTTACAGTTTAATCTTTAAAGGGATCCATGATTAGTTGTAACATTAGACTTTATTTAATAAACGTATATTTTAACTGTAAAATAAAGACTGTAAAAATACTGTAGTCTGTTCAGTTTTTATAATTTTTAAACTAAAACGTCATCATTTACCCAGAATGCTTTGTGTGTAAATAAAATGTCTCCGTCCATGTTAAAATATATTTTAAAAAAATTATAAAAAACTAAACAGCCTACAGTATTTTTACAGTCTTTATGTTACATTTAAAATAAATGTTTATCAATTAAAGTCTAATGTTACAACTAATCATGGATCCCTTTAATCATTAAGATTGAAAATGTAGAAAGGCCTGAATACATAGTTAAAATGACGTGTTATAAAATAATTACAACACTAAAATAACCTTCAGGAAGTACTCACTTTTTTTGCCATATCTCTATTTCCTGTTCAACCTTCTAGTGAAATGTTCTGCCTCCGTATCATTGTCTAGTAATCTGTCTTTTTTTTATCTTGCGGTTTTTGACTCTGCTAATGGCTGTTTTAGCTGAAGTTGAGCACAATATGAGGCGTTAATTGTCCCCCGTGTGGTTACGTCATTACTGAGCAACAGCGCAAACAAACACGTGAGCTCGCAGTGAAAACTGAACAAATGCTGGTTTGTCTTTTGTCTCCTGTGATTCATAAGTGTGAATTATTTAGGTGTTGTTGCCTTCAGGTGAGAATAAATTTTACATAAGGCATACAGGTGGAATCTCCTCTTTGGGTAATCAAACATTTATAGTCGCCACAGGGAAGAAATTTGACTGATTCATGATCTATTAATTAAAGATTACCCAAATGTTTGGGACATTTTTTAAGCTAATTTCAAAGAACTTGTACAAAAATGGGTGGCATGGAAATCTAAAGTCTTTAGGGTTTTATCAGATCTTTTACAGTCTGGTCCTCTTTGTGTTGATGTTACCACTGGGAGTGCCACTAGTGGATTGAACTAAATCACAAATTAAATGCATTGCAGTTTACCAAATTGCCTTAAATGTGCTTTTCCATTTTAATCTGAAATAGTTTTGGTAATCATAGAATGTTTACTTTTAGAATAAAGTCTTTATATTTTTCTTATCCACATGTAACACATGGCTTAGACTTGTTGTCCCAAGAAGACAAAAACATGGTATACTTCATATACCTTCTGCACATCTATTCTCATAACAAACGTCCACCCCTGAGCCTCCCACTGCATCACATATTGACTGGTTTTTGGCCTTTCTCAGTGGGCAGCAGTTTGTGGATTCTGGAAGAGCAGGTCTGCCCACACACTGGATATTTATAAGTCCACAAATCACTAAAACCACAGGAATCTGCTCTTTGATTTCTACTGCCCAACCTCCTGCCTCGAAGATCACACAGGAGCCACAGAGCCCAGCAATCCTCTTGTAACAACATTTTCCTCTTCCTCTCACTTCTTCCCTCTCAAACTCTCCAGCTTTTCTGATCCGTTTTTCTTTTTTTTTCATTCATTACTCTATATGGAGTCTGGATCTTTTGCTTCAGTACCCCTACCCTCTCATCGTGCTCTGTTCTGCATGAGTCACAGGGTCTCTGCAGTCTGACTCACAGGTGTTTGAGTTCAGAACAAATGCTTTCAGAGTGTCAATATAATGCATTTAGTGGAGTTTGTAGGGATGGAAAAGAATAGGTATAAAAGGTCACACTTTAATTTTTCTGCCTGCTTGTAGCCACTTTAGGCACTTTTCTCTAAAATACCCAGCATGATTCATTAATCGTTTGCAGAAATGCAGACAGATATAGTAACGATGCTGTCGTGTTTTTTGTGCAGTAGCTGTTAGCAGTATTTTTCACAAGTTTATTATATTTCGCAAAAATAAAATAAAGGATAAAAGAAGTGTAGCCTCGCAAACAGCTTTAACTTGAGTGATAGAAAACTAGGTCATTGCAAATGCAGGTGAACGATGAGAAAAACTGTTCATTGTCAGTCTTCAATCTCCAAGGCAGGAAATGTTCTTCATTTATTTCTCAATGCAACACCCAGTTCCAAGTCCAACTACCAAGTCACTTTGCAACTTCATTTTCTAACAAACAGCCTTGTTAGAAATATCTAACAGGAATTTTAACTATTACTTGTAAGAAGTGTGGCTTTTATGTTTTATGATCACCCGTAAAACACTGTATGGTTTAGGTGTGGATCAGGTCACCCTTTTGTTGCTGAGTCAGTCCTGATGCTTGGAAACATGGACCCCCTGACAACAACTGCATTGTGTTGTGTGTTTTGACACCATTCCACTCTTTCATCATTTAAACCTTTATTTTCTCTTCATTGGGTCTGACAGCATGTAGCAAACTTTGGGTGTCTCTTGTCCTGAACCACAAACATGCTCCCTAGTCAAAAATCCCTCCCAAAGCCAAGGGCTATTGTTAGAAGCTAATCAGTGTTTTTTAATTTACCTGTTTGTGTTATGCTGAGTCGAATTTGACTCCATACTTTTTCTTACTGACTAGAAATTATGACATAAACCGTAAAAGGAAATGCAAATAACATTTTGATTTACTAACCATTTTTAGGTCTTTCTACCATTCTTTCATCCAGATATGTATGTTCACTCTCCAAGGCTATTTAAATAAGAAAAAAGGTTTCCTCCTACATCAGTTTCACAAACAAGGAAAGGTGGGAAATAAGGTGTCACCATTTTGTCGGTAGTATAATTGAACACTGCATGTGAGGACAGGTTGTCTCTGAGGTATGTTTAGTAATATGTGGGTGAAATGGGTATTGCTTATTAGATGATGTGATTAATCTCCGTGTCAACATGTGTGCTGATGCTTGTCAGCGGGGAAGCGTGTGGGATGGGGGCTCCATCTTCCAGCGCTGCTCTCGTCAACCTGGCAATTATCACCAGCGGATTTTTGATTGAGCTTTTATGGTTGAGATGAGGTTGCAAACAGAACTCTTTAGACCACTGTGTTTGTCACCATCTTTTTGTTTTTTAGAATGAGAGGCTAGGAATTCATTTTATTTATTTAGTTATGTTTTGCTTCTCTATGGCAGGACGGCTTATCCCCTTTTATCCACTCCCATACAGTCTCTTTTCTTAGAAACGTTTTTTTGAATTTGGCAGGAAGTTTGGAAGAATACTCCAGCTTTTTTCTTCTTTGCTATCCATGGCTGCTCAGCTGAGTTCTTGACATACCGAAGACCTCAGATTGCCATTCCAGGGACTTTTTAAAGCGGAAACAAGAGCGAGATGAAAAAAGGCAGAAAATACACATTGTCTCGATGCAAATGCAATATTTCTTGCTTTCAGGCATATAACTTGGCAGTTCAGTATAGTCAATAGTTTTATTGTGGGTAATTCAATAAGCAAAGATTAGTTGTTTTTCTTTATTGCAAAAGAGAAAAACTGAAACTTTTATTGTTTTGTTGTGGTCTTGGGGTTTGCTGTAACAGATTTAAGGAGGTATTTGTATTCTTGGGTTTGAATGCAAACAAAACATAGCTTTAAGCTTATTTTTGTATATTCTTTGTTTCATCATATTCCAGCAACTAACCACTTTTTAAATGTAAATTTGAATATCAGATTGTACAGTATAAAGCCCTTGAATAATTCCATCCTTTATCTTTAGCGTTCAAGAATGTTTAACTCTTTAATGTGGTGTTTACAAAATATCTTGGAAGTGTTTTTAAGTTTTTATTTTGTACTATTCATATTTATTTTCTAGACAATGTGTAATATAATAAATCAAAACAGGAGTTTGTTTATGAGCAAATAATTCTGTCAAAATAAAGGAAAAATTGGGTTTTTAATTATCCCTTCTACTTGTGTTTTTTCTTTTTCTTGCTGCATTTTAATGTCTTCCATTCTTTCTTCTCCTGTAGTGTGGCAGTCACTCGCTCTAAAGATGTGCCCTCTTTTGGCCCACCTATCCCAGAGGGTGTGACATTTCCCAAGTCGTCTGTGTTCCGGGACTTCCTGCTGGCCAAGGTCATCAATGCAGAAAACGCTGCCCACAAGTCACACAAGTTTCGCGCCATGGCCACTCGAACACGCCAGGAGTACCTGCGTGACCTGGCTGAGCGCCACACCACGAGCACGTCTATCGATCCCTCTGGAAAGTTTCCTTTCATTTCATTGGCTCATAAAAAGAAGGAGAAGACTCGGGCGTATGAAGGAGCAGAGCTGCGCAGTCTTGGTGCCGTGACCTGGCAGGTTTATGCAGAGGATCATGGGAACGGAGGGGAAATTGAGGCTTTACTGGCCCTTTCCAATGACTTTCTCATCCTGTTGGACCAGGAGGCCAAGGCTGTGGTGTTCAACTGTGCCACTAAGGATGTGATTGGCTGGACACTTAGCAGTCCTGCATCTTTAAAGATTTTCTACGAGCGTGGAGAAAGTGTGTCCCTGAGGAGTATCAGTAATAACACTGAGGATTTTAAAGAAGTGGTCAAACGACTTGAGGTTAGAGGACACACACACACACACACACCTACTATGTCTCTGTATAATTGTGGGGACTTTCCATTGACTTCCATTCATTTTTTTAAAATTTTATATCCTAACCTTGACCAATTACCCTAAAATGAACCTCACAGGTACACCTACCCAGGGTTCCCACAGATCCTTAAAAAGTCTTAAGGCATTAAATTCATCCATCCAAAAATAAGGTCTTAATTAGTCTTAAAATGTCTTTAATTAATGTTTCATGGGTCTTAAAAATGTAACACATTGTAATTAAGATGATTGTAGTTATTCTCAAATAATTGGTAACAGTTTTTTTCAAAAGTATTTTACTGAATGCCTCTCGCAGCCAGTTGTTTTGTGTTAAAAAACATTTGGGTAAAATTGTTGCTAACTGGGTTTCTTTTCCATTTATGTTTGTTGTGAATTTGGTCTTAAATTTCATTTGAAGTGACATTAAAGAGGTCTTAAAAAGTCTTAAATTTAACTTGCCTTAAGCTGTAGCAACCCTGCTAACTGACCCTAAATCTAACTTAAACTCAGCTCACACCTTAGTCCTAAACCCAACCCCACACCTGTAATTTGCATTTGGACCCGTTGGGACCAATACGCACGTTCGTTCCTACGAGGTTGCCTTTTTGTGAAAATTGTCCCCACAATGTAAGAAAAACAAGGCCACGCACACACACATTTGTCTCTCTATCCTCATAGGGACATTACATTGACTTCCATTAATTTTCCAGTCATTACTATATCTTATCCCTGACCTCACACCTTGGTCCTAAATCTAACCCCCAACACACCAACAACATTCTCTCCCTGGGGGCTAAGCTCAGGTCCTCACAAGTACCAGTTGGTCCCCATAACTAAAGATGACATTCATTTATTTAAAAAAATGCTGAGAACCTATCCAATGAGAAAAGCTGTTGGTATTAATCTAATAATAATAGTAATAATAATTTTAATTTAATTAATAATTAATAACCTGTGAATGGGTGTCTCTGGTACCCGCCAGGCTGACATTGTAAATAAGAAGTTCTTCTTAATGGTTTTGCCTGGTGAAATAAAGGTTAAGAAAACAAATAAATAACCTGTACTACTCACGATCACATTTTGTCTTTGCTACCATTCAGAGTCTGGCATCAATCTGCCAGAATGACAACATTTTTGTATCTGCATGCCAGACTGCTGTCGCCTGACTGGTCTCAGTTTATTGAGGGAGTTTCAGAAACACCTCTGGACAACATTCTCCTAATGGCTCTTACACCTACACATACAGTGAAGTGATGCTTGTTCCTTCTTAGCTGTTTCCATGGAAACTGGTTATGGGGTTTAAAAAAAATGGTGTTTTCTTATGTAATCATCAATGCTTTAGAATGCATTCATTACCCCAGCATACCCTTTGTCTGACAAAACAAACATGTTTGTTTGCGTTTGCACTTACGAGGTTTAGTTTTTTTGTGCGTTTGTGTAACCAGGATGGAATCTAAATTCTTGAGTTGTGCACACGTGTGCAACACGTCATTATTCTGCTCACTCCAAAGATGTTGATTACACGTTGCATTATATGCAGCTGGCCTTAATATTCAGTCAGGTTGACTGCCTCAGAGCCAAAGTGATCCTCGGCTCTTATTTTCTTGTTTTCTCTGCGTATACCCCCCCACCCCATTTGTTATATATCACTCTCTTTTTTTCTGATTTTCCTCTTGTTCTCTTTTCCACCCTCATTCACACAGAGGCATTAGAGGGTGCAATAACAATTCATATCAGGTGCCATTCTGTTGCATGATATATTTGTAGTCTCTTATGAAGTTTGACTTTCTTGCGATAGAAATGCAGAGAAGCCCTGAAGCTGATAGGTTCGTCTTTAGAAGCTGCAACAGGCTGATCTGAAATAAAGTAAAGGCACTTTATTTTAGTCAAGGATGAGAATTAGTTTTAAGTGATCTTTTTTTGCTTCTTTAAAGATTAATTCTTTTTAAAAATGTTTTCGTTTTTACCACCTCGACCTTGGTGAAAAGGCAGCATCCAAGCATTCTTACATCCTGTCGTTGAATGATAGAAGTCACAAGATAAAAACGAAAAGGTTCAAAACAGGTTTCTGTTATGCAACAGGTTTTGATGTTCACACAGACCTGGGGTTTACAGAAAAAGGCAAATTTGTCATTTGTCGAGTGTGTGTTAATACACACACAGACACACCTATGTCTCTCTATTCTTGTGGGGACTTTCCATTGACTTCCATTCCATTCTAACCCTGACCATTTACCCTAAAACTAAGCTAAACTCAATTCACACCTTGGTCCTAAACCTAACCCCACCGCCAAAAATCAGCCTCTGGGCTTTGGTCCCCACGAGGCTGCATTTTCCTGAAAAATCTTCCCCACCAAGCAGCAAAAACAAGGGCACAAACACACACACACGCACACTGGTTAGGTGGTTTTACCTTTTGCCCTCAAACGTTTTGGGTCTATCTTAAGCTGTTTTTTTAGTTTGTTTGATTTTTGTTCATAAAAACCTAATCTCGACCTGTTAAATTGTTTAATATTCGTGCATCTCTCTCCCGTCCACATATCTAGTTTCTTACTAAAGGTTGTGAGACATCGGAGATGACGCTTCGTCGAAACGGCTTGGGACAGCTCGGCTTCCATGTGAACTATGAAGGCATTGTTGCTGAGGTAATAAACCATCATATTTAGTCTTATTAAAAGCTGCCTCATGTCCAGCTCATGTCCTATGAATCCATTTTCCCACATTTAAATGAAGGTATGTTGAGATCTTTCCCAACAGAAATAATGTATTTCCTTTTAGATTAAAAAGTGATCTCGCTACACAGAATCTGTTCTTATACTAACAACATGGGTCTTCCTACATTCTGCGTTACTCCAGGTTGAGCCTTATGGCTACGCCTGGCAGGCCGGGCTGCGTCAGGGAAGCCGTTTGGTAGAAATCTGCAAAGTCGCTGTAGCAACTCTGACCCACGAGCAGATGATCGACCTCCTGCGGAACTCCGTGACGGTCCGAGTCGTCATCATTCCACCGCACGACGACGCCACTCCACGCAGGTACGTGGGAGGAGATGAACGCTGCGAGGACATAACGACCCTGACATCATCCATTGTTCTGTGTACAATTGTTTTGAGGCTTCAGGTTTAACATTTTAGCTTTTTGTGGTGTAAAAAGCTATGTTCTGAAAGAAAACCAGGCAGGAAATCTTTCTCTACACAGAGTAAAATCACTCTTCTTTAAAAGCTGAAGCTAATTTGAGTCTTGATTGGGGCTGAAATTATTCCTCAAATAATTCGAGTAATTCGATTACAATCTGCCTTGAAGCTTCGTAAAAAATACATACTGTTATAATCAGCGCACTTTCATCCGGCCGGAGTGTTATTTGTGGTACACAATGCTACGACGTTAGCGCTTCCTCTAGCTGTTACACTGTTGACACATGTATGCTTGTTAGGTGCTATATTTAGCTTTAGAATAAGACGAAGAGTGATGAAACGAAGCGCTCAGAAAATGACAAATTATAAAAAAAAGCATGGGAACATTTTAAATTAAACAGAAAAGACAACAACACGCAATGAGCTTCACATCCTTGATGTTTCTGCACCGGAACAAAACAGCTGATATATGTATCGAACGCGTTCGGAGTTAACAGGCATTTGTTTACGTTCACTTTGGTTACGTAAATCTGTGATAATCTGTCATGTTACAGATGCACAAGGAGGAGGTATATTTAAACTAACGTTATTTGTGCTGACTAATCATGGTGACCTGGCAGGGTTTTGTTAAACAGTTTATAAGTTGTGTAATTAAAAACAAGACTTACTGTAAGTTTGTCAGATAAAAATAAAAGCACAACAACAGATCGACAGCTTGAGCTGAAACATGTTTATTTGTTGATATGCTTTTATCCTAATTTAAATTAGATTCTTGGAGTGAATATTTCAAGTTAAAAAGTATTTGGATAGTTAAATTATTTGCTGCTGCTTTTTATGATTTTAGCCTTCATTACTACTGTCATATTTGTTTATAGCTAAGCAGTCAAGGCTAAATCTTTAAATGGGAACCCTGCACCAACCTAATAACAGTCTTAAAATTATGAATTTTTTGTTACAATTAACAAGTGAACTCTACAAAACTCAATTGCAACACCCAAATGTTTATATTACGGTACCCATTTTACTTATTAAATTTCTAACAAAAAATAAATAAATAGAAAGACATTCAGTTTTCCAATCCATAACAATAAATTTAAGCATTTAGATTTTTCTGTGATGTTTAAAAATGATTCAGTGACAGAGTGCTTTTAATTAATGCCTCCTCAAAACTTACATATATAAATACAAACAAGTGGAGCTTAAAATGCATGAATTAGTACAACTGGTGTAATTTTACTTTGATTGCAGCAGGATCACCAGCAGATGTAGATTACCCCTTCACAATAATAAATAATTATATTTCTCATAAAATAAGCTTAATGACTGAAGAACATGACAATTTTTTTATTAAATAATTATATTTCTCATAAAATAAGCTTAATGACTGCAGAACATGACAATTTTTTTTATATCTGATTACTCGATTAATCGAATACTAAAATAACCATTAGCCCTAGTCTTTAGTGCTTATTGCCATGAGCAAATAGAAATTCCACACTTCTAGGCGACACAAAAACATATACACTCTTAGTCCTATTGCCATCGTTTGGTATTTAATAGTTGCAATCCTTAAGTGTCTGCGGACACAGATGCATTTAAACCAGCTGTCTTCCGTCTTTGCAGAGGCTGCTCAGAGCTCTATCGAGTGCCTGTGTCGGAGTACAAGGGCAGCAGCAGTGACAGCGGCTCCTTCGAGTACAAGTTCCCCTTCCGCAGCAACAATAACAAGTGGCAGAGGACGTCGAGCAGCCCTCAGCAGTCACTGACTGCCTCTCCACAGCCCCACACACCCAACAGAGCCATCAGCCTGGGGAGCTCAGTGGGGAAGACCCTGTCTGCTGAGAGGCTGGAGAGAGGCGCTGCCATCCCACGCAGCGTCAGCAGTGATGGCCGACCTCTGGACTCTAAGAGGTGACAGCTTGTTTTTTTGTGTACCTTATGAAACTCACCATATTAAATTATTTAAGAAGGACTTGAAGTCTCAAAAATCTGTGATTTGAACAGCTGTTGAAGTGATCGGTTGCACATATTCTTATGTGAAATCATCTTCATCTTTCATTGTCTCACTCATTTCACCTCTACGCTGAAATAAACTGAAGGTAAAGTCTCAGCGTAGCACATAAACAGAGCCAGAGTTTCTCTTGCCAGATCTTTAGGCAGAAGGTTTTTTTTTTAGCTCCTCTGACATTTTTTCACCCTGACTGTGTGGGAACTGGAGTCACATTAGTTGAATTTGCTCTCAGTGTTTAGTTCATGTCGTGCATGTTGTTAAAAATCATTAAAAAATTATGTGTATATTTATTAGGGTGTTTCTGTGTTTGTTTGCTTATCAGGATGTCTCCAGGCAGTGAGAGCTACAGCCTGGCCTCCTCTCTGGCTTTAGGTCGCTCCCCTCACAACCGCAGCTCTCCCAGCAACCTGTCATGTTCCACAGAAGCCTCTGGAAGCTCTGCTCACTGGAGACAGAAGTCCATGCCTGAACAGTAAGGAAATCAGGAGAATACTGGCTGTCCTATGTGTCATATCTATTGTTTACTAATATAATTACTCGCTGCAGTCAGCCTGAGGCACTTCCTCTGTGATCATTGTCCATCCTATATATTTATATCAATATAAAACAGCTACTGTACTCTGTGTTTTTTTTATTTTGTAGTGTATAAATATCAGTCTCCAAGCAAAAATGTGATATGTGATAAACAAATTACATATTTATCACATTGCGTACTTTAAAATTTTATGATTTAGTAGAACTTAGAACACCATTGACAATGTACAAAGCTTATACTAAAGTCCTTCCACATTGTATACAGAAGTGGTTCGAAATTAAAGAAACAAATTCTGAATTCAGAAAGAAAGATTTATTTAGAAAAAAAAGTTAGGACAAATATTAAAAATAATTGTACCTCTGTTAAAGGGATTTGTGTTTGGAAAAATCGGTGTTCTTCACTAACTAAATTTAAAATAATGTATAAAAAGTATTTGTTACAGAAATATACTAAGTTTTGACTGATTTTTTACTGCTGCTAGAGTTTTGTTACAAATTTGGTTAGAATTTAATTGGAAATTTTATTTGATAAAATCTATAAGAGTGATGCTGATTTGATTGTGATAATGGATGAATAAAAAATGAAGGTATAAAAAAGCTTAGGCTTCTACCTACACCTTTTTTTTCAGTCTCTGCCTTGTCTTTTTGACACTGACAGGAATTTAAAGATTGTATTTTATTTCTGTATTTTATTTTATTTATTTATTTTTTCTGTAGTTGCTCAGATGGACTGGTTTTGGTGATTTTTTTTTTAATATTCAGACAATTCAAACAATAAATCTGAACTGTGTGGAGTCAAAAGGAAGCAATTGTTAGAGTACTTCATGTACCTAATTTACAATTAGGACCATGATTTATGAGTTTCTATCCTCCAAAATGAATTTACTTTGCAGTTTGATTGAAATATGTTATGGTTATTTGACAAATATTATTGCAAAAGAAGGCGCTCTCACTTTTATTTCCACCCACTTACTTCAGCCTTTGGGGGAAAACTCTTTCCTTCATTTCAGGTTTTCTCAAGTTTAATTTCAAATCTTGTACATCTGTGACCACATTTAGGTTTGCAAGCAGCCGTCACTCTCCCATGTCTTCGGAGAGGCGGGAGGTGGTGGGAGACGGTGGCTCCAGTGGGAAGTCCACTCCCAACTGGTCGAGAATGGAGGAAGGCAGCGGCAGCGAGCGAGGGTCAACAGGTAACGGTTTCACTGTGAACTGCAGTCGGAGGCAGCCTGGAGAGGCAGTCTGAATGTTTGATTAAAATTAACATTTTATATATGCAGAGTGTGGGCTGCAGTTGATTTATGCAAAGGGAGGAGTAGACAACACACGGAAGAAATCTTCCATGTTTATCTGTGCTTTAAAATCCTTTGAACTGACACCTATTTTGAAGAGAGTGTGAATACAAACTCTGACAGCTTTGCTCAACAACAGCCCCCACCCTTCTCCTTCCACCTCCTTTTCTCCTGCAAGCTGTGAATTACGTTGCCCTGGAGAGGGTCGTAATGTCTCTGCAAACAAAAAAGGTGGAAACCTAATGAGACAAGCAGAAAACGGAAAAGAGAATTTTTGGAGTCCCAGTATAAGCAAATGGATTTTCCCCTCATTTTTTCTATTCTGTAAAGTTTGTTAAACAAAAATGAAGAAAAATTGAAGACATCCTCCTGGTTTTTGCCAACATTGTGTTCCTTTCCTTCCCACTGTTCTTATCATTTTTTTATTGTTTTGCATAACTTTTATCTATCTTTTTGTTCTTTTACAACCCATTTATGTCATCGCAAGAATTCTCTCATTCACTTCTATTTTACAAGCTTTTTATTTTTATTCTGGCTTTTCTTCTGAAAGCCACAGCGGCTGCCTTTTTCCTCTGCCACTCCTCTCGTTCCCTGCAGGATGCTGCTTTGATTGATTGTTGACCAGCCATGTCCTCAACCTGTTGCTGGTCCCCACAATCACAGTTTAAGGTCTCAGTCTTTCATTTTGTGGTTGCTTATAGTGCCTGAGCTGTTATTGGATAGGGTGGAACAATGCACACTGGGCCAGCTCAGCTGAAGTCAGCCAAGTGCCTGGCCGTCCCCCAAACGACTCTGCTGTCTGAGTGCTTTAAGGTTCTGTCTTTTCAGCTTCCTCTCATTTTTACCTCTTGACTCTCTGGTTTTTGGCGAAGATGACACGGCCAAGTTCTTTCCACAAATATCAGAAGTCACTTAGAGGGCAGTGCACTCATTGCTGCTCGTACTTTTCCTCATCTCTTAACTGATGTAGCTGTTTTATCTAGTTCATTTTATGATTAATTCAAGCAGAGCGTTGCTAATGTCATGTCTTATTTACAGAAAGCAGTTTTTTTTTCTCTTTTTTTACTCCTCAAAACCTGGTCCTACAAACAAAAAACATCTGCTTTACCTTCCTCTTCCATAACAACCCAGTAATTATAATAAATAGACAAATATTTAGTGACACAAAGTGTGTTCTAAATGAATGCACAGGAATTCGGACAGAGCAGCTCACACATGTACAACCATCACTAATTAGTCCAGAGAGCCCTGCAGGCTGCAGTGCAACGATACAGATTAATGAATATTCTAAATAAGATAGAAGCCTCATTTTTAGATTCACCCCAGCAGATGCTACGATACCACCGCTAGCTTTCTCTTTCTCTCATGCTGCTCTGCTCATTAACTGCCTGCTCTCTATATCTTATTGCATAACGTAGACAATTACACAATAGTCCCATTTATATCAAAGTTTGCCTCAGGACCTGAACACACAGTCTCTCATGTAGCACAGCTTGCCCAAAGCAAACAAAGCCAGCAGGAGACAAAATAGTTTGATGTATGTTACTTTTGATGGCGTGTGATCTGGGTTTTTTCCTAATGGAGGATGCAAAGGCAGAAGGAAAGCGGTGTCAGTGCTGTGTGCCTCCTGGATGTGTCGTTGCTAAATGATCTGTTGGATTGTCAGCAGCTCGTCTGTTTGTGCTGCAGGAGCTGTTTGTGCGTTTGTCACCAACCCCCTGCTTTTTTGTTTGATCTTACTGCAGAGACCCCCGTCTCCAAGTCGGGTCAGGGCTACTCAGGAGCTCCCCGCATCCAGAGGCAAGAGCAAGTCATCCATATCTCCCCGAAGAAGGGCAGCCAGGTCAGAATTAACACCTCGTTAGAAACTGACAGGATAGTTTGCTCATGAAACCCAGTTCTTTCTAGTGTACTGAATGATCATTAAAGTGTCTGTGACGTGTCTATCCTTCAAATAGAAAAAGTCTAAGAAAGCATCTTTATACTTAAGAAAACTGGCATAGTACACATGATTTTACCCATTTTTTCACATAACTGGCCTATTTTCTTTTAAATTTGGCTCAGCCAAAGTGAAACAGGAAGTGACATGAAAGGGGAACTCTTTAATAAAATAAACTCACTGGTTTTTGTTTATTAAAACAAAATTATTTAAACGTTAACTCTTCTTCATCTCTCTTTGATAGTGACTTAAAATAATCTAAAGAAACATCAGATTCTTCTCTATAGTCTGTGTTGTAACTACGCTCTGTTTACATTCTGACATTCCCCTTTGACATCACTTCCTGTTTCTTCACCTGCCAATATCTCAACAACTGTTCATCTGAGCGATGTGAAATTTGTTTTGCAACATGTTAACAATGTTAACTTTCCAAAAATGCATTCATGTTTGTTACAAAAAAGTGATGTCACAGACACTTTAACATGCAGCTCAAAGCTTATACCAGGGGTGCCCAAACATTTTCCCTGAGAGGGCCAAAATTAAAAAAACATTTTTTCTGAGAGGGCCAAAATTAAAATCAATCTGAAGGCCATGGGCCAAATGCAATAATATAAGAAATGCTTAATACTTAAGTAAAGTTGTTTTATTTTTTATGATTAATCTAGCAGCCAGTGTGGTTGCCCACATTCTTTAGTTATTTTTTTTTTCAGCCCATGGACATGTAATGGAGAAAATTCAATGTATCCTCAGGCAGCAAAGGCTCATGTGACTTTTCATAATTTAAAATTTGAGTATATGTGGTCTTATAAGGTGTGCAAATCTATATATGGGCTTAAATCTAATCTAAATGTCTCTTGTAGTTACTTGTATTTTATATTTAATCTTAACATAATTACAATCTAATAACCAGGACAACTGCTGGTGGGCCAAATCAAATGGCTCGGTGGGCCAGTTTTGGCCTGCGGGCCCCATTTTGGGCACCTCTGGCTTATACTGTTAGTAAATTACATGGCTGCTTATATACCAGTAACATATATTGTTCTAATTACTCTTAACATGTGAGTTTTTCAGGGCAGAAAGTTCCATTTTTATCTCATATATGTTCCATATGCTGCACTTTAGCGTTCCTCCTTTTGACTTCAACATGTTGCCATAAAATAATAATCCTTCTTTGTTATTTTCAAATTGATTCTGAATTGTTTGAATCTCAAATGCTGAAAATAAACTATAATTCTGAACATTATTAAATTATATACAGTAGCAATTTATTTCTGATAAATAAATATTTAACTGGTGTTTCTTTTCGCCCTTTCATTTTTCATTTGCCTCGACAGTCAGATGGCCCTTACTCAGGTCACTCCAGCAGTAATACTCTGTCCAGCACAGCTTCCAGCGGCGGCCACAGTGACAGCGACAAATGGTATGATTTAGGGGCAGGCGGGGGCTCCAGCGGCGATCAGGGCGATTCAGAACCCAATGGTCTGGGAGGCGGAGGATACCTCCAGGGCGCCTCCGCCGACAGCGGCATCGACACCGGCTCGTACGGAGCGCAGCATCACGCCCACCCCCACTCCCATCACGGCAGCACCACGTCGCTGCTGGCACCCAGCGGGAGCAGGGAAAGCAGGGAGCGGACCGGATCCCCGTGGCACAGTCCCACCGAAGGAGGACGCAGGATGCTTGAGAGGTCTCCCGCTGCCGCCGAGTCCTCGGGTCCCCCGGCAGAAAGAAACCTGGAAGGTCGAAGCCCCCCAACTCATCTCCTGGTTAGAGACAGCAGCACTTACAGTTTGAGTGAGGGCGGGTCACACTCAAGGTGAGTCTGTGGGAATAATGCACCTGATGGACCTTGTTGGCATTGGCAGTCATGTTGTATTGATCACTAATCAGTTATTTTGGGTCAAATGACCAAACCTCTACCTAAACAGAAAGGAGGTAACTCTGACAGCACTTATATTTATGACAAGAACATAAGAAAATTAATAAATTCATTATTTTACATCAAATTTCTGTTTCTTGTTAGTAATCTTTTACATTTGTATAATAGTCTCCTTCATGGTTTATTTAAGTGTGGAGGCCCATCCTAATCTTATATCTGGACCTCAGTTTTGTTTCAACACACCAAGCTCAATCTGTTTTCTTCTGGCAGACAATCTGCATTCTTCAGATTTCCATTCATGATCCTTTAAGTGGATGTTCTCCCTCGTTATCGTTCCAAACATGAGGTCGGGATCATTTGAGAAGTTGAAAAATAAATTACAAGTTGAGTAATCAATATCAAGTTAAGTCATACGACAAAACACTTTGGCTATGTTTATTATTTCTATTCTATCTGCTTTATTTTACTCAGAAATGCTGAACCTGTGATTTTTACTTCTCTAAAAACAAAACAAATCCATGAAGGAATTCACTTCTTCTTGGACTGCTCTCATCGTATAAACACCAGTGACTTGATGAATGCAGTTTTTCACACTGAAGTTCAGTTAGCTGGACGTTGAGGCTCAGAAAGAAGCTAATTCATGTTCATAGCTTCAGTTTCTGCTCATTTATAACAGCGTTTACCCTGACAGACACACGATCCAGCTGGAGGCCGAGGTAACGTCTAAAGCAGATGGGAACACTGTGTGTTGAAGTAGTAACCTTACTCAGCCCAGGAGCTTTCTTGTTTTTTCTCCTTTCTTCGTGCTCATTATAACTTTTTATTATTGTGGATCTTGACGACTTTCTACAGTCATTCATGCTCTCAAATACACTGAAAATCTCTGACAAATACATGGTTTTCTGAAGTCTTCCTGAGTCCATGTGTTAATATCTGTTACAGAATGATGTGGGTTTTTAAAGTAGTGCTGCCTGAAAGGGTCAAAGGTCACGGGCATTCAGTGTTGGTTTTTGGCCATGCAGCTTTTTTTACAGAAAATATTCGAGGAATCTTTTCAAGTTCAAGTTTGTTTATATAGCACCAAGTCACAACACACGTTGTCTCAGGGCACTGTACATAAAAAGAACAATCTAAAGAAGAAAGCAGCAGATTGTGTTGAATCACTTCATCACAGTCTCCCATCCTGAGCAAACGGTGGAGAGGAAAAACTCCCTGCTAATCAGGAAGAAACCTCCAGCAGAACCAGGCTCAGGACAGGAGACCATCTGCCTCGACCGGCTGGTTTCTTAATGGACTTTCGATGATGAAATCCCTAAATTCCTTGCAATTGTGCATTAAAGAAACAATCAAACAGTTGGATTATTTGCTCACGCTCCATCCTCGCCCTTTCAGGGATGCTCCCTTTATACCCAATCGTGACACTCACCTGTTTTCAATTAGCCAGCTCACCTGTGGAATGCTTCAAATAGGTGTTTTTTTTAAAATAATTCCTCAACTTTCTTTTGTTGCTGCTGTCCCAGCCTTTTTGCAACATGTTGCAGGCGTCAACTTCAAAATGAGTGAATATTTGCAAAAAAAAAAAAACAATAGATTTACTCTGTTTGAACACAAAGTATCTTGTCTTTGTAGTGTGGATTTAGTAAAGATTGCATGTTTTCATTTATGTTTTACTCAACGTCCCAACTCAACACACTCCAAGTATTAATCTTTTTCAGACAGGATTTACTATTAATGCCAACTTTATACTCGAGTTCTGATTGTATTTTAAATCGGGCTAATTTCTGTTCTAGTTCATCATCTCTGCAGCCTTATTTTAACTCTAGATACGGATGCCAAACGTCTCTGAAAAACAACACATACTAGACAGCCTTTTCAGAAAGACTTTTCTGGAAAATCAAGCATAAAGAGTCATTTTAATTCCCTCCTATCTTTCCACATTAGACCCCGGGAAATGTGGAACACATGTCTTACTTTTCATAGCAGAGCTGGTGTCGAGAGCTGAGAGGACTTCAGCAACCACCTCTTCCTGTTGGAGCAGTTAGTTTCAGAAGCCCAGATAGAGTTACAGTGTCTGACCCGGGCATCATCTGTCCAGCATTTAGGATGCATCTGTGTTCTGTCTGAGTCGAACACATGAAATATGAGAGCGAGCAGGCCAAGAGGCTTGATCCATTTTCCATCTTTAACCAAATAAAGATCATTCTCTTGGAAAATCCTTGATGGAAACAATGATTTATAAATGTCTGCCCAAAGACAAATATTAATTTCTGAAGGAGTACGACAATTTATATTCTCTTCCATAAGTTTGTAAAACATAAAAATAATCCATTGTTGCTTTCTTTCTCTTCACGCACGTCTCATTCCTCTGTTTGTTTCCAGGCACTCTGGCCACAGCTCTCCCAGAGAAGAGTCATCATCTTCAGCCACCTCCCCTTCGTCTCAGACCTCAGGACCCAAGAGCTTCTACCCACGTCAGGGAGCTCAGTCCAAGTATCTGATCGGCTGGAGGAAACCCGGCTCCACCATCAATTCAGTGGATTTCGGAGACACGCGGAAGTAAGATCGCTCAAAGAAAACCTGGAAAATGTTGCAACAGGTTAATTTACTGCCTGTGCAGGTGCTTAAAGACTAGTCAAAAGTTCAATAGTTACTGATGTCCTATCATTTACATCGAGTCTTTTTTTCCAAAGAGACTTTAAAATGGAGTAACAGGAATTAGGTTTTAGTGTAGTGAGAAAGGCAAGAGTAAGCGTTAAGTGCTGTTTATATCTGCGAAGAACACAAAATGAAGTGTGGGTTAGAGGTGTTAAGAGAGGAGGTGTTTTTGAAGTAGATGAGTTTTTAGTAGATTCTTGAAGCTAATGAGAAATGCTCCTGCTCGGGTGACATTTTGTAGCTTGTTAGAGCATCACGAAAAAAATACAAATAGAAATCTTAACTGACCTCGTGCATGGGAGTGGCAGAACCAGACATCGTTCCTGAGTGAACTGTTCTAGAAGGAAGCATGTGGGAGTGAGTTTAGAAAAGTAAATCCAACATGGACAAGTTTGAGATCTTCTGTCCTAAACCCTGCAGCTCCTGGAGAACTGAACGGATGATTATTGACAGCATCTACAAAGTAAATGTCCATTCTGTAAATCCTCTGAAATTTAGAGCTCTCGTGTTTACAGTCTGCCTCTGATGCAACTATAGTAACTAAGTTTTATCTATATTTAATTGTATTTTCCTGATGAATGTCCTTCATGCAAAACTGAATTGAATTCTTATTACATTTCTATCACAAATTGTCCACCCACTTTTATGTTAATACGTTCCACCAGGAATAACATAGATGCTGCTTTACTGCCCCCTTGTGGCTGAGAGGAATATAGCAGCAGCAACAGATTATCACCTGACCACATCTGACTCTTTAGGAATAATCAGAGCCAGGTAGAGTACCCAAAAGATGTACTGGAGTAAGAGTAAAAAAACTTTTTGTTAAAAGACTACTTGAGTACAAGTAACTGATCATATCATCTGGTTTAATATTTTAAAATGATGTCGTCAGACTGAAAAAAATAGTAGACATTTAATAACAATTACAAAATAACAAATTTCAGCTGAAAAAAAATAAACTGTTTTCCTAGTCCAAATTTTTTCATCATGAAACTAATCTTACAATAAGTAATACTCGTGTTTGTGTATATGTATGTATGTATGTACGTACGTACTTACAATAGGTGAGCAATGATACAGAAAATTCACTATTTGGTTTGGTTTGATACTTTAGTCTCACGGTTCTATATTTTTTCGATACGAAAGAGAAAATGTCCATGCCTCTTTTAACTTGTAATTTATTCAAATTAATTATGAACATTTGATTAACCTGGTGACGGGACAGAAGCAGGAGGAGGTTCTTAAAAAGACAGAGGCCAATTTCAAGACATTTAGAAAAGGAAGTGATGAGAAAATAAGTTTATTTTCTATTTAAACATAAAAACAGCATTTTAATAAGGTGACATAGATACTTTATTATGGTATAGTATTTAAATATATGCCTGAGAAACACATAATATTGCCCCTTTAAAGGGGCAAAAACTCTGTTCCACTTAGAACTGAATTTAGGCCACTTCAGGTCGCCTTAACCTGTAAAAGAGACGTTCTCTTTTTCTAAATCAGATAATAAACAGAATAATCTTCTTTTTATTTGATTTATTGTTCTCTTAACTGAAAGTTATTACGCATTTTGATAATCAGAGAATGTTTATCAAAGTTACAGGAGAAAAGAGAACATCTTTTCTCCCTCAGTGCGATTTCAGCTATGTATGGATTTTCTGTGCAAAAATCTTATTTAACTAAACTAATCTTTAGGTTTAAGTTGATGAAACATCAATGTTTATCTGTCTGAATCATGTGGCAAATATTTGAGTTTGAAGTAATTCATTCTTTCAGCTGTTTTTAAAGAGTTCTCATCAGATAATAACTAAACAGGTCATGATATGTTTTGTTTCTGAACTACACAGAAGCAATAATTATGTTAGAGAATTCTGGCCTGGGCAACTTCCTCTAACATTTTCCTTATCTTCAGGGGCGTCACTAGGTGTTAAGGACAAGGGGGGCCAAGTAAAACTACTCCAAAAAATAAATTTTTTCCTAAAAGTTACTCATGCAGTTCTAACTGAGTAAATGTAACTAATTACTGCCCACCTCTGGGAATAATCTCAGATGATTTGAATAAAGATCTTTTTGGTGGGCGTTTTATTTTGGCGGTCTCTGTTTCAGGAAATCTCCTGGAGAAAGTGGAGGAGAGCTGGTTCCGACCCCCGCAGCAAGACCTTCTCTCAGAGACATGCACTCCCCTCAGCAGCATGCTAAATCCACCATAGAAGAAGACATAAAGAGGCACGGTGCTCATGATACCCCGCCACCACCAAGGAAACACAAGGAAAAGGTACAAAAAAGCAGCAAAAACACTGAGATTTATTTTGAAGGTGGTGCAGTTGTTCCTGCCTCAAAGCACACTATTGTGATTCGTTTCCCATCCAAGTTATCTCCACTTTGGCATGCTTCTCCTCCTGCATATTTTGTCCTAGAGCTGCCATTCTAATTTATATCTGTATAGCTCCTGTGCCAAATGATGGCTATGCCTTTTGGTGCCTGTACAACTTATAGTTTTTGAAATATTTATGTTTAATAATTTATAATGGGAGTCAATAGAGCCTTGTATTGGTCCAATACTGCCCCCTGCTGTATCTACTCAGTACTGAACCATAGTTGAATAATATTTGATCTCAATAGTTCAGTGGTTACAATACTAATACAGTATGATTGTATTTTGATGTTTTACTATAATGCTGTCTTAATACTGCTCTACTGTTGTAATATTATGCAGTTTTGTGTCAATAATTGTATTGGCAATGTGGCCTCTTTCTGCACATATACAAACCAACCCTTGGCACCACCCTTGGCCACAGCTGCAATGGTCTAATGCTCAATGCCATGGACTTTCATGTGGGACAACAGGGTTCAAAACCCAACTAAAGCAACTTTAACAGAAAATCTCTACAAACTTCATATTGTCACACAATTACTCTTATTACAAACACCTGCTGACTTGACAAGCACAAACTGGTGTAGAAAACACATTTGTACTTGGTCACAGTTCATTCTGCAAGTCCATTGCTGCAGGCAAAGCCATGCTGCAATGATATGCTACATGGCAATGCACACTTGTTTTTACATCGTAAAAACCCATGTCTAGTTATTTATTTGGTGTTTGCGCTGAGTGAATTATTTTTGTCCGGTAAAAGTAACCTTGTGCTCTTCACTGTGACAGCACGGTCAGAAGTCCCCGCCGGGCCCGCCCCTCAGCCGCCGCCGCTCGCTCCATCGCACCCTCTCAGACGAGAGCATCTATCGGGGCCAGAGGCTCCCCTCGCTGAGCGACTCGGTGACTGAACCCGCTCTCAGCCCCGACGTCCTGTTCAGCTGCTCCACCCTGCCTCGCTCCCCCACCACCCGTGGCGTCCCCCTCAGACGGCCGTCATACAAGCTCGGAGTCAAACTTCACGGTATGAAAAGGAGGAGGGAAGACTTCTCTTATTCTTTTTTTAATATGTTACAAAATGTAGAGATTTTGTTTTACAGGTGCACGTTTTTATTTACTTAAATTTAGGTTGATCATATGATTTGTCTTTGTTTTACCCGTGTTCCATTTGAAGAACCTGCTGCCCTCCTTTTGATTTAAAAGAAGCAAAATGTTCAGAGATGTTTATTTTTTCCAATATTTAAAACAGGTGACCTTTCAGCATCTGACACCTCATTGGTGGATTTGGTGGAGCGTCACAGGGGACCACTCCCTCAGGAGCTGATGCCCCTCCCATCTTCAGAGAGGGACAGTCCTCTGGAGTGGACGCACCTGGTGGATGTGGCCAGTACCTTTGAGAACGAGAGAAACACACACTACAGTAAAAACACAACTTCTCTTCATTCTACTGGAAACAAACTCTTGTTGGTCAGACCTTCTTGACTTTTGTCCGTTTCTGCCTCTGTCTCAGTTCAGAGAAGTTACGTGTTCGGGGATTCAAACCATCGAAGCAGCGGTGCATCCAGTCCTCAGCAGTCCCACATGGAGCTGCAGCCCGCTCCTCTGTCCCGGCCCTCGTCAAGGTGCAGATCCACTCACGCTGCTTTTATATCTTTGTTTTTTATAGCATGTTTCTATTCATTCACTCCACATTTTTATTAAAACATCACTTCTTATTCATCAAAACAATCATTCTTAATTTCTTAAAAATGAATGCATCGAAGAACACCGTCACCTGCAATTCTTTTTTTAATTTAAAACCTTTGAAGTGAGTTTGTATTTTACAACACAGTTGAAGCGTTTTCATTATTTTAGAGCAGATCCAGTTTGCATCATAAGGTGTGTGTTTCTGTACACAGTGAGGGCCACATAGGGCTGGAGAGGAAGGTGACTAAACTAGAAGCCATGGTGAAGATGCTGCAGGAGGACCTGAAGAAGGTGAGATGGCTACAGAAGCAAAACAAATGACAGCTGTGTGCAGAAATTATTGTCTTCATGCATTTCTGAACTATTTTTATTTTCCTCAAGACATTTTTAATAATATATATATATATATATATATATTTATTCTCACTATAACAAAATAATGTGGTTTGATTCTTCATTTAGTTGTGTTTTCTGGAATGTGAACCAAAAACGACCTCATTCCAGACTTGTAACTTGATTATTTTTTAACCCTTTCTTTTACACTCCCCTAATTATCATGCAGTTACCTAGTATTTACATGCTAAATAACATCATTTAACTATGCAATTACTTGGTAATTACAATAATTTACCATGTAATTACTTGGTAAGAACATATGATTTTATTTTTTTGCATTCTTTTGGTTAATAAAATGTAATTGAGATACTACTGAAGTATTTTATGCAATAAAAGTAGTTATAGTTATACTAACATAATAGTTTACTGGTAATGGCATTGTAATTAGGGACTGTGTGTGTGTGTGTGTGT